ACACACACACACACACACACACACACACACACACACACACACACCCATCCATTCATCCATCCATCTGTTCATACGTCCATCTGCCCATCCATTCATCCATCCATCCATCCATCCATCTATGCATATATTCTTGCTCGCCTGTGTGTTTACTCGCCTATTTATCTGTCTGCCGACCAATAAACCCACCGACCTGTCTGCCTGCCTGCCTGCCTGCCTACCTGCTTGCCTTTCCACATACGTGCAAACCTTCCTACATAATAATATAGGCCTATTTACGCATCTACACATTCTTAAAGTCAATCAAACTTTGGACAAGAGAAGAACACCGCTCTAGTGATGATTTTTTTCTTTGGTGGGGGGGGGGGGGGAGGGGGGGAGTGGTTTTGGTACAGTCCGTGCCGGCTTTAAGCACGCCGGCATAAAGCATGTTTCGGACTCAAGCACGCCAAATTTTTGCTATATAAATTACACGCCTTTAAGCACGGTAACTTCGGCTTCAGGCACGCTTCATTTACAAGGCAGTGAATACTTTCATGATGACCCATCGAAGTTCGAACCCACAGTCTACATCGCAGCAGTGGAGTGTGTTAAGAGAAACACAAAGAACGCAAGTGATGGACACACACACACACACACACACACACACACACACACACACACACACACACAAACACACATACACAAACACACACACACGCGCGCGCGCGCGCGCACATACGCATGCACACGCGCCGAGAGGAAGGCAGAGAGATGCACACAGCCGCGCGGGCGGACATAGGATCTAGCCTAGGGCAAAGCTACACACAGACAAAAACAATACATTTATACAAAGAAAGTCGGGGTGACGAGATAGGGAGGCTGGCTGCGGTTTCACGGTACTTTGACCCTCGCTATCCATTTAATCATGATTAATATTATGTATCACGCGCGAGGTGGGATGAAGGCGGCGGTATGAATGTGGCACAGTGGGCAGTGGTACGCACAGGCAGTGTGTAGGCCTAGTGTGCTGTATCGTGAGTGGCCGTCTAAATTAAGTTTTAATTTCCCATTCGACCAAAAAACAAAACAAACAAACAAAAACTACCATGGCGTCTAAAAAATTACAGTGCACACTTTTGCTCGACCGCATTAGCATATAGTATAGGCCTACTTACAAACAAAGGGAAATAGCACGTGAAATTTTCTACATGAAAATCTCTGGATTATGTCCTCTTCGCACTCAAGCACGCTTCGGCTTTAAGCACGCCAAGCTTTCTCCCGATGACCGTGCTTAAAGCCGGCATGGACTGTACCTTTACTAGAACGTGTCCAGCTGATACTTCATAGCTCTAAAGTTTGTATTGTGTCACATCTTCATATTCATGCGCAGCAGTCATTGAATTGAAGTCTTAACAATCATAGAAGACATACAACGATATTCAACACCCATCCTCATCCAGCCCACTTTTTAAAAGTAAAAGCTTAAAGGGGGAAACGGCATCATTCATAGGTAACATATTAAACACTAATAATGCCTTTCTTTCATGTGTTCATAATGTATCTTGCCATTATTTCCATGTGTGCAAATGTATTAACCGCGTCACTATTACTAGTATTACGTGACTTCAGCTCTTTCGGATAAAAATGATAGCAATGGACAAAATAGAACAATCCAAGCAATACGTCAAAACAGACAAAAGTCCACGAATTTCCCTTCAAGGACTGATGATCCGTATTAAGTGGACGCAGTCTCAAATTTTGGAAAGCAACTCGCACTTGCAAGAACCCAGATTGATAGAAGAGAGTAATTTCGTTTCCAGATTATATGTGACACGAAAAGGGGTAAGAATCTAAATCTTTCGACAAAATTGAAAAACGTTTGTTAATAAATGGGAAATTTCAAATAATGACACTTCATCTCTTTCAAATTGAACAAACATCTTATATTTACAGATTTCAAAATGAGGTTTGCAATCCTAGGACTTGCCCTTGCCGCTGTGGCTTCCGGTTTCTACGTCCCTGCACAAGAGAAGAGAAATTTCCACGATATTGCTCAAAAGGTGGAGGATGTTATCCATGGAATCCTAGATCCCCTTCACATCGATGACTCCAAGAGAGATCTTCATGATGTTGCTCAAAAAGTGGAGGATTTTATCCATGGAATCCTAGATCCCCTTCATATCGATGACTCCAAGAGAGATCTTCATGATGTTGCTCAAAAGGTGGAGGATTTTATCCATGGAATCCTAGATCCCCTTCATATCGATGACTCCAAGAGAGATCTTCATGATGTTGCTCAAAAGGTGGAGGATTTTATCCATGGAATCCTAGATCCCCTTCACATCGATGACTCCAAGAGAAATCTTCATGAAATCGCTCAAAAGGTCGAGGATGTTATCCATGGAATCCTGGATCCCCTTCATATCGATGACTCCAAGAGAGATCTTCATGATGTTGCTCAAAAGGTGGAGGATTTTATCCATGGAATCCTAGATCCCCTTCACATCGATGACTCCAAGAGAAATCTCCACGATATTGCTCAAAAGGTTTAGGATCTTATCCATGGAGTTGTAGACCCTTTTCACAACGATGACTCCAAGAGAAATCTCCACGATATTGCTCAAAAGGTAGAGGATGTTACCCATGGAATCCTAGATCCTCTTCACATTGACAGCGCTTCGACTTAGAGAAATCCTTACTGTGCTGGCTTACAGATTTAAAGACCATGTTATCCTCTTAACATAACATTTATTCTACATTGTATGATTTTCACAATGTTGCTAAAAAAATATGGATATGTTACTAGGAAAAGTAAAATGTACACACATTCAGATGATCCTGGGTCAAATGCAATATTTTGGAATAAAGAAAATTAATTAAAGTTACCCAGAACGTGTTTTCTACTTTTGCGCTCCCATGATACAACAGGCTGATTGTAGTACACAGTACACAATATGTAAAGTGAACTATGAATTCAAATGTTGTAGCTTTTCTTCGGAAACCTTGAAAAAGATTTTTTTTAAAAACAAGTGTACATCTTGTATAGGCGACAGTATCGCAAAGATCAAACTCCATTCAACACGTTGAATTAACAGACTAGCCTTGGCCACTGGTTTAACATCTTTGTCCAGTTGGACAGTTTTGAGTGAATGTGGCCGCTAAAACAGCCCTAAATCTTCAAGTCTAACACACAAGCCGAGATTCGTTCCACAACTATCCTCACCATAGTCTAGCATTATCATAAGTGAGCTTAACGTTAACCCAGCATAAATTTGAGAGAAGTGCCTCGATGTATAAATGTATCATCCTTATCTTTTACTTACTTGCAAAACCCAGCGCTTGGTCCACACAAAAATTCCAAGAACAGGATGCTTAAAAGGTGTTTTTTTGATAAATGCAGCCCCTCTCTTTCTCTCTCTCTCTCTCTCTCTCTCTCTCTCTCTCTCTCTCTCTCTCTCTCTCTCTCTCTCTCTCTCTCTCTCTCTCTCTCTCTCTTAGTTCGTGTGCTTGCGTGTGCTTGCTTGGGTGTGTGTGTGGAGGGGGGTGCGTGTGCGTGTGCGAAAGAGAGAGAGAGGCTAGAGCACGTCTGTGTGTGTGTGTGTGTGTGTGTGTGTGTGTGTGTGTGTGTGTGTGTGTGTGTGTGTGTGTGTGTGTGTGAGAGAGAGAGAGAGAGAGAGAGAGAGAGAGAGAGAGAGGATGTCAGTTCGTCTGTGTGTCTGTGTGTGCGCGTTTGTTTGTGTTTGTGAGTGTGTGTTAGTGTGTGTGTGTGTGTGTGTGTGTGTGTGTGTGTGTGTGTGTGTGTGTGTGTTTGAGACAGAGAGAGCGTTTCTGTGTATTTGCATTTTTCCTGCCAAGTTGATATAATTATGACAGTTTGGAAACCCGGTAAGTTACGACAGCTCGACAGAGCAAGCTGAGTTGAGGTGGCGTCTTTTTTCCTTGATGACCATGGCGGTACTCAGGACCAAGACAAGGAAAAGGGTTACAGGGAACTATGCGTTTTACAGGACCGAGGTTACGAGAAACCATACATTTTTCCACTGGTCGTATGGTCGGCCTGCTGCTGAAATGAACTAAGCCCAATTGATTTGAGTTAATAAAGATAGTATTGCACTTTCTTAATCTGTGCTATTGGTTGCATGAGCTCAGTAAAAATGTAAATCCAAATTCTAAATGTTGAAAAATGGAAGGAAAAAATACATTGTGTAAGTACAATTGTTAAAAGAATAAACAGTTTTTCCTCCTCTAATCTGTAATATGTTGCTTTCTGGGCTATGTACATTTAACAGCTTGCGTCGGTATTGCATGTCTTTCTGGTGGAATTGTCTACATGTTTAATGTTATCTCAACGCCTGACGCACTGAAAACCTTTTCAACAGGGCATGACTGCTGACATTTCATGATTTGAGCAGCTGAAAGATCTTTTGGAGTTAAAAAAATACCCCTCATTGTGCAATAGTGGCAAAACATACGCCATGTGACTATACTTCCGTGTACAGTTTCAATCAAGAATGTTTCAATAGATACACTAAAATGCCTCTGACTAGTAGTTTAAGCTGAATACCCATAACTTTAGTGACTCACAACGTTGATTAACAATTCTAACGATTTTGTTGAAATCCCAATATCAAAATACTTCTGCAATTCGCTTTAGACCCTACCATTTGCATAGAATTTCGACTAGTCAGGAATGGTGCCCTTGCGACATCGCGAAGGCCGTATATTATGCTTGGCATTCACAACATTTGAATTGTAATGAGTGGTTGGTTTGAGGACGCCATTGGTAGTTCCTACATCTCTATACTTTCCCAGTGATGTTTCTGTCTATCGGTCTTTTTTTTTTTGGCACTAAATGATCATTATTGTGTCGATGTGCTTGTCTTGACTTAAACAAACAAAGTTGTTATGACACACTACAGGTTCGTTAACTCTTAATTTGTTTCGCATGCGAACGTTCAGTCTGATGTGCCCAGTCATGTCTTCTCGTAACCATCTAGATCTAGTCTGGAATGCCCAGATACAATGTAGTTTGATGTTCGAGACTGAGATGCTGTTTCCTCTATTTATTTCCGAAAGGACGTTGTTTCAGTCACAAGGAGGTCTGTTTGAATATATAATATTTATTGGCCTCTACTTCAATTACTGACAAATTTAGTTTCTTATTTTTTCAAATTTAACTCTTCGCTAGACAGCGTTTACATCGTTTCTTTTTAATGACCACCAGCTGTCTCAGCTTTAGGGCTGGGCAATGAGTCGCTTTAGCAAAATCCGGATAATATGTTAGTGCACCTCTTCGACAAATAATATGGCATGAGCCACTTTGGCAAAATGGGTTAGAACCACTTCGACAAACGGGTTAGCATCTCTTCAACAAATGAGTGCACCCACTTCGGCAAGAGGGTCAGGAAAGGGAGTTTATAAGTCTGAATTCGGATAATGTTTCATTGAGAATTATCCGGTTATCCGGATAGATAATCCGGATGCTGCCCACCTCTACTCAGCTTGCAACAAGGTGCCAAGCTCAGAAATGTCTGCAGAAGGAAGTGGAGACTAAGTTCTCCTTCGAATCGAACCTGGAACTTCCATTTTATTTCAGAACCAATAGAGCCGCAATAGTAGCCACATAGGAAAAGTGCCTAATTAAGCTAAATTTGTCCCAATAGACGTTTGATCAAAATTAATTTTGTCATGGCTTTATACGTCGTGACTTGAGCGTAGATGAGTGTATCTATGTACGTGCATGTTCTTCCAAGTGTGTGTGTGGGGGGGGGGGGGGGGTGTATGCGGCTTTTTTTTT